ACAGCACGCGTGGCCCCGCGGCACCCAGAGGCCGAAAGTGGCCAAACACGTCCCAGCCTGATGTTTCTCGACACGAGGGGGCGTCGGCTACACGTACAAGTGACGTTTCGCCGGAGTGACTTTTGGTACGGACACATTCGGGCCCCCAGATGTCTGAGCGCGATGCGACAGCAACGTCTTGCGCGCCTGGGTTTGGCCTTCCCACGGCCCCGAAAAGTCGCGCACCAGAGATTCATCTCGCCTAGGGCCACTCTTGTGCGCAGCCGAGGGAGGGTCCCTGGCCCGCAGAGGCCCGCTGCCAGACCTGCCGCGTCCTGATGCTCCTGTGCGACGCCTGCCGGGCCTCGCGGGAGGCAGCGACGGCGCCGGCAGCGCTGCTCTGCGGCGGTGCGGCGTGCTCTGGCGAGCGGATCCGGTGCACCCTCAGAGTGCACCTCTGCACGACCACCGTGCTCGGGCAGGGCCCCCTGGGCTTCGGGCGCATCGATGTGTTCCATTCTTGCGTTTTGTCCGCCACGTCGGCCTCTCTGGAGGCCGTTCCTCCGGGCCCCGCGGGGCCGTCAAGAATAGGTCCAGGCGGGGCGAGGAGCGGGCCTCGTGGAAGGGGTCAAGAGACTTCTGGGGCCCGCGGGGTGAAAAGGAAGGCAAACGGCTCGGGTATCCCGGGTGCTGGGCCCTCGGGTGGTGCAGAGACCTCCCGGGCCTCGGCCGGGAGAGCACACGCGGCATCCTGAGCGGCTCAGGATGGCTCGACTGAGCGTAAGAGGGACATTTCGCCAGAGTGGCCTTTGGTGCGGGCCCAGTCGCAGTCCCCCGATCGCCTAACGCGATGTGATAGCGGCGTCTTGCGCGCTTGTGTTTGGCCCCCCCGCGGCCCCCCAAGCAGCCGCGCACCAAAGGTCACTCTTGCCCAGGGTCACTTCTGCGTGTAGTCGTTGAGCGTGTCAGGATGGCAGCCTGCCCAGCCGAGGCGGCGGTGTGCAGGTGCCTTCTGCGCAGGTGCAGCTGCGGCTGCAGCGCCGAGTGCTCCGCAGGCCCCATCCCGGGCCCCGGAGCCCGTCCGCCGCGGTAGCGCCTCCCCGATCAAGGCTCGAGATTTTAGAGTTCCTGTGTTGATGGCTCCAAGGAGCTTCATCTCGTGGCCAGAGGCTGGATTCCGTTCGAGATGCTGGCTGAAATCAAAGCGGAAGGCTTCTGGCAGCTTTTGTCTCTGAGGGGCCCTTTCTGGGCTCGGGCTTGTTTCTGGTCCCAGGAAAGGGGTCGGGAAACGTCAACATAGCGTTCCAAGGCCCTTGCATCCTTACCGCGAATCCTTATTATCCTCGTCGAGTGTACGACCTCCGACGTCACCGTTTTGTCCATGCTGGCGCTCTTCCTCGAAGCTTCGGCCTCCAGACGCCCCTTTCGAAACTCTGGCCCGTCGAACCATTATCCAGGAGGAGAGCCAGCCCCGTAGAAGGGGACTTATCTGGAGACCGCGCAGTGGAGGAGGAGGAGGAGGAGAAGGAGGAGGAGGAGGAGGAGGAGGGAGGAGGAGGAGGAGGAGGAGGGAGGAGGGAGGAGGAGGGAGGAGGGAGGAGGGAGGAGAGGAGGAGAGAGGAGGGAGGAGGGAGAGGGAGGAGGGAGGAGGGAGGAGGGAGGAGGAGGAGGAGGAGGAGGAGGGAGGAGGAGGAGGAGGAGGAGGAGGAGGAGGAGGAGGAGGGAGGAGGAAAGGAGTGGCGAAGTCGGAGGTCTAAGACCGAGGCGCTTGTCCCCGTCTCTCCACACCAGCTCTCCGTGAGGGCCGAGAGGCCTGAGAAGCCGGCAGCAAAATCGCCTGGCCTTAAGTCGAGCCTGCCCGTCTACAGGAGGGAGATCCAAAAGTAGTAAAAAAAACCTCGGGGGACGATGTTTCTATTATTTTCTGGCTGTTTTTGATTATGTCTGACTGCTTTACATTTTTTCGCCCAAAATCCGCTTGTAGGGGGACATGCCCGACCTAAGCCTGGCGTGACTGTGTTCTCGAGGGCGGAGGTCTCCGGGGGCCTTCGAAGTTCTCCGCAGAGGAGGTACCCAGGGGCCTTTGGGCCCTCCCACCCTGAAGGCCTCCAGTGGAGGCCCAGCAAAGTCAAGCAGCACACGTTCCCAGACCCCCGCACACGGTCGACCCCCATGCAGAGGTCCAGACCCCTTCCCCAGGACCAGTTTTCCATCCTGAGTCGCGTTCTGACGGCCCCGAGGCTCGGTAAGGGCCCCAGGAGGGCAAAGATAGCGAAAACTTTGACATCGTGATTTTTTCCCAGCGCGAGGGCGTCTGGGCTTTGAAAGCCTCGACGAGCCGAAGACGAACGACGGCGACGACCGGCGGTCCTCGATCGGCGGTCGCGGCGAAGCCCAGCGGGCGGACTCAGGGGCCCCTCCGTCTGCCGGCGCACGGGCTTCTTCACCCTGCGGGCAGACGCCCGCGAGGGCGCTGCGGCGGCCCCGCCGCGGCGCCGCCCGCGGGGCGAGCCGCCACGCGAAGGCCTCGGCGGCGCCGGCGCCAGCGCCCATGCCGGCGGCCGAGGAGGCAGCGCCGCCGACGGCGACGCGGCCGACGGCGTTGCGCCGCCGCCCGCGACGGCCGGCGGCGGCCGCGGCGACACGGCCGGCGCCCGCGGCGACGGCGGCGCGGCCGCGTTCGGGCGCGGCCTGGGGCGCTTGCCGCAGGGCGGGCGATGGACCAGCGGGCCCTGCGGCGGGTGCATCGCGGCGCCGCTGCGGCGCCTGGCGGCCGCGTGGCGGCCGCGGCGCGGGCCTCCCGGCCCGGGCCCGGGCCGCAGTGCCGTGCGGGCCGCGGTCTTGGAGGACGCCGAGGCTTGCTTCGCCCTCGTGAACGAGGCCTACCGGGAGCAGTACGGGGGAGCCAGGTGCTCGGAATCGTCTTAGCCGAGCCCCATGCCCGGAGGCCAGGTCAACCGCCCCGGGGGGGGATAGGTCCTGCGAAAGCCAGCGTGGCCAAGGCCATGCCAGTGGGGACAGGTGTCGGTCGAACGATGCTCAGGTACAGAGACCTGGAAGCGCTGCGGTGCGCGATCCGCCAGCAGCGCGTGCTCGTGACGTGCGGCCAGGAGGGCCAGGTCCTGGGCTGCGCCGGGCATGAGCTCGTCGGCGACGCCGCGGGCGGCGTGCTCCGGCTGGGGCCCGTGGCGGTCGCCCCGAGGCAGCAGGGGTGCGGGCTCGGCACCGCGCTGCTCGGCGGCGCCGAGGCCGTGGCTGCCGGCTGCGGCTGCACCGCGGTCGAGGTCGAGGTGCGGCGAGGCGCTGGGCAGACGCAGCGCCTGACGGGCTTCTATCTCGGTATCGTTGAACCGATCCCCATCCCCATCTCCATCCCCGTCGAGACCCCCACCAAGTTACCACCCCAGTTGGGGATACACCCCTCGAAACCCGAAGAGAACGACCTATATCCCCTATCTAGGGGGGTAAATCGGCCAGCGGGGCCCAGGCCACGCCGCTGGGGATGGGGATCGGTCAAACGATACTCACTATCGGCGCCGCGGCTTCGAGACGAGCGGGCCGCGGGACAGGAACTACGTGGCGCTGAGGAAGCAGCTGTAAGGCCTCGGCGGTGGACCTCTGGGCGACCTCCCAGGCGCCTTGGCGTCCTGAGAAAATGCGGCGGGCGTTTCTGCGAGAGGGGTGCAGGTTTTCGGCACCTGGGGGCACTTGCGCGGCCCGAGGTACAGTCAAAACAGTGCGGGATGAAAAGCCGGCTCCGAGTAAGGAGTCGAGATTTCGGGGGCCCACGTTGGGGTTTTGAGGGCAGCATGTTTTGTGCTGCGACCTTTGGGCGAGGATCGAGGTCTGAGAGTCCATGGCCCCTCGTTAGGCTCCTGGATGCCTCCAGGCACCTTCATGGACCTCCAGGAGCCCTGCGGATGTCCGCGAGGCCTCCGCAAAGCTCTGGAGGCGGATGGTGCCTCGAGCCGACCCGACGGACACCGTGAGCGCCGGAGGCTTTTTGTTGCCATCCTCTGGAGGGCCGCCTCCCAGCCTCCCCCCCCAGGGCCTGCCCAGGGAGTTTGGGGCTGGTTCCCGGAGGCCCCCAAACGGGGCGGTGACCACACCATAGGGTGAGTCGGTGGGGATTCGGGGCCACCGCACGGTTTTGGGACTCGGGTCGTTCTGCGAGGACGTCTCGGGCGGCTGGGGCATCCGAGGTCCCGAAGCCGTGCGGTGAGGTCTCGTGGGGCTCCGAGGTGGTCACCGCGCGGTCTGTCACCGCACCGTAGTGGTCCCGGGGAGGGGGGGAGCAGGCCCTCGGAGGTCCGCCGCTTCCACCGTCGTGGGCCCCGCCTGCACCCGAGCAGCGCGGTGCCCTGCCCGTGGCGGCTCGGTGTACGCCCTGCCTGTGCTGTGCCTGTGGTGGCTGCGCCCGGTTTGCGGCAGTCCCACGACTGCGCGAAAGCCTGGAGCGGGCCCGCAAGGGTGGCCAGTGGCTTGAGAAGATCGGGCCGTCGGAGGGCTGGGTCGCTCCGCGCGGTTGCCGAGAGCCGCCGCAGTTATCCTATCCAGTGCCTGCGCTTGCGCGATGTGTCTTTCTTCGTATGCTCTGCAGAGCATGCGGCGCAGGATGAGGATGAGGCGGAGGAGGGCGAGGAGGAGACGGGGGAGAAGGCGGAGGCGGAGGATGGAGAGGGCCCTGGCGTTGCGGAGGAGGAGTAGGACAACGACGACGACGGCAGATGGCGACGAGGAGGCCAAGAGGAGGCGGAGGGCGATGCGGAGGTGGAGGACGAGGCGGAAGGGACACATGTCGTCTTAGAAGCGAAACGGGCGCGACCTCAATTAGAGGAACGTTTCCCCAGCGGGATTGGTTAGTTTTGCATCGTGCACTGTTTTTGTTTAGCTTTGCCCTGCATTGTTGTGCAGTGCGTGGCGTGCTTGGTGGTGCTTGGCATTGTTTTGCGTTGCTTACGATCGCTTGGCATCGCTTGGCATTGCTTGGCGTTGCTTGGCTTTGCTTGGCATTGATTGGTATTGATTGGCTTGGCTTTGCTTGGCCTGGCTTTGCCTGGCATTTCTTGTCATGTTCTGCTTTGATGGGCATTGAGTGGCATTGCTTGGGATCTCGGGGAGTTCCTCTTCAAACACATGAGAGAAACATGTTCCCGGCAAAGCAACCTAACAGCGATGTGTAGGAGCATATCTGGAAGCATTCCCCTTAAGATTCAGATGAGAATCCAGTTGTAGAATTCTGCTAGTCTCGCAGTCGTAGTCGCATTCGCGATGACAGACGCAATGGCAACGGCAGTCGCAGTCACATCCTCAGCCGCAGCCTGCCTCAGCCTCAGCCTCAGCCTCAGCCTCAGCCTGCCTCAGCCTCAGCCTGCCTCAGCCTCAGCCTCAGCCTGCTTCAGCCTCAGCCTCAGTCTGCCTTCAGCCTCGGCCTCAGCCTCAGCCTGCCTCAGCCTCAGCCTGCATCAGCCTCAGCCTCAGCCTCAGCCTGCCTCAGCATCAGCCTGCCTCAGCCTCAGCCTCAGCCTGCCTCAGCCTCAGCCTCAGCCTGCTTCAGCCTCAGCCTCAGTCTGCCTTCAGCCTCGGCCTCAGCCTCAGCCTGCCTCAGCCTCAGCCTGCATCAGCCTCAGCCTCAGCCTCAGCCTGCCTCAGCATCAGCCTGCCTCAGCCTCAGCCTCAGCCTGCCTCAGCCTCAGCCTCAGCCTGCTTCAGCCTCAGCCTCAGTCTGCCTTCAGCCTCGGCCTCAGCCTCAGCCTGCCTCAGCCTCAGCCTGCATCAGCCTCAGCCTCAGCCTCAGCCTGCCTCAGCATCAGCCTGCCTCAGCCTCAGCCTCAGCCTGCCTCAGCCTCAGCCTCAGCCTGCTTCAGCCTCAGCCTCAGTCTGCCTTCAGCCTCGGCCTCAGCCTCAGCCTGCCTCAGCCTCAGCCTGCATCAGCCTCAGCCTCAGCCTCAGCCTGCCTCAGCATCAGCCTGCCTCAGCCTCAGCCTCAGCCTGCCTCAGCCTCAGCCTCAGCCTGCTTCAGCCTCAGCCTCAGTCTGCCTTCAGCCTCGGCCTCAGCCTCAGCCTGCCTCAGCCTCAGCCTGCATCAGCCTCAGCCTCAGCCTCAGCCTGCCTCAGCATCAGCCTGCCTCAGCCTCAGCCTCAGCCTGCCTCAGCCTCAGCCTCAGCCTGCTTCAGCCTCAGCCTCAGTCTGCCTTCAGCCTCGGCCTCAGCCTCAGCCTGCCTCAGCCTCAGCCTGCATCAGCCTCAGCCTCAGCCTCAGCCTGCCTCAGCATCAGCCTGCCTCAGCCTCAGCCTCAGCCTGCCTCAGCCTCAGCCTCAGCCTGCTTCAGCCTCAGCCTCAGCCTGCCTTCAGCCTCGGCCTCAGCCTCAGCCTGCCTCAGCCTCAGCCTGCATCAGCCTCAGCCTCAGCCTCAGCCTGCTTCAGCCTCAGCCCCAGTCTGCCTTCAGTCTCAGCCTCAGCCTCAGTCTGCCTCAGCCTCAGCCTGCCTCAGCCTAAGCATCAGCCTGCCTCAGCATTCAAAACGACGTGGCCTACAGTTGGCTCCGGGCATTCAGAATCATGCCCAGGAATGGAGTTCTGGGAACTCGAGGACCACGACATGGCCTACAGTTGGCTCCGGGCATTCAAAATCATGCCCAGGAATGGAGTTCTGGGAACTCGAAGACCACGAAGTGGCCTACAGTTCCGGGCATTCAAAATCATGCCCAGGAATGGAGTTCTGGGAACTCGAGGACCACGACATGGCCTACAGTTGGCTCCGGGCATTCAAAATCATGCCCAGGAACGGAGTTCTGGGAACTCGACCACGAATTGCGTTATTGTTGGTTTAAAAAAAGTCCCTGGTTTCCCGGGGCACCCTGTCCGGATCCCGCCCAGCCCCCCCTCGGAAGTCATGATGCTCTCTTTTGACACGACTAGAAACCTATCAGTCTTCGCTGCTAGGAAAAAAACCAGGGATCCTGGGAAACCCAGGGAAGGCCAGCCTTTCAGAAACCAGGGTAGCCCGAAGACGGCCAGCCGTCGCAGGCCGCGCACCCACCTGTTGTATCAAGCGGCTCATTTTCAAAATGTAACTCTCTCCCCAAGCCAGTGCACATTGGTTTCAAACGTCTGCTGCAGTTTGAGAGATGGAAGGCGGCTCCTTTGCAAAATGTTACTCTGGCCGTAGCGCCGCACACATTCGTCTTTGAAGCGTGCGAGAGTTCGAAGGATTCAGCACAGGTTGTTTTCAAACTGTGTCCCTCGCCTCAGCGCCGCGCAAATTCGACTTCACGCCACAAGTGCAAGTAGAAGGACGGAGGACTGATCTTATTCAAAACGAGATTCTCGCTAGGGACTTGTTCAATCTTCGCCAGCGTGCACTGTGAATATGTAAGCTATGTGGTGCAAGCTATGCGGTGTAAGCTATGTGGTGCAGTTAATTTCTGTTCGCAGTGAGTTGTCCACTCCACTGCTCGCGCAAACATCCCACCCACCCGCAACTTGGTTTGCAAAATCTCTTAAGACCGTGACGGTGG